ACAGAGGAAGGCAACAGGATATTCACAGGGCCACAATTCCAGCCTTTTAAACACAACATCACTAACCTTACACTCTAATATAAAAAAGGGGTAGAGGTAGTGTACCCAGCGGGTGAGTTCTTGCCTAACATGCATAGATAGCTGGGCTTCACCCCCAGCCCTGCAAAGAGAAATGAATAATATATAGCAGGCAAAAGTATGCTATTCTTAACTAGCAAGTACTCCAAAAACCCACAACTGCTCATAAAATCTTCTCTGCATTGCTCATCTTCTGCGTGCGTGCGTGCGTGTGTGTGTGTGTGTGTGTGTGTGTGTTTCCCTGTCCATCCACGTGCGTACAGAAACCAGAGAACAACTTTGTGTACCCTTTCTCAGGCATCACCCACGTTTTTTTGTCTGAGACAGTCTTTCACCAACCTGACACTCTCCAGGTCGGCTAAAGTGGATGGACGGTCAATGATCCTCAGGGATCTGCCTGTCTTTGCCTCTGCAGGGCTGGGACTGTACCAAGCTTTTGTACCTGGTTCTACGGAGAGAACTCAGGTCTTCATTGGTATAACTCCCCAACCCTATTTCCCATATTTAAAAAGAAAACTGTATGTGAATATACTTAAAATCTGTGTATATTTTGTTTAAGATATATTTTACTGTACAGCCAAGGCTAGCCTAGATTTCTATGTCATCTTGCTTCCACCTTCTGTGTTGGGATTACAAGGTGCACCATCACAGCCATCTTCTTTGCTACCACTGTTAACTCTTATTTCTAACATGTCTAACCTCAAGTCTTCTATCCACTTAGGTCTCAGTTCTCTTCCCTCCTCATTATACTCATTATGTTTTGTCCTTTATAGATATTTGAGAACCAATGCCGAAAATTTATTATTTCAGCCCAATTACTTTGAACTATACTCCAGACCCTGTTATCATTACAAAGAATTAGGAGATTGGCTTTAGCCACGGAACCAAGTTGAGGCCGGTCTATCTCAAACACAACAAAGCTAAACAAACAAAACTCCCCTACCCCACTCCTCCCAGTGTATCCTCACCTGAAACCCAGTCAAGGATTTTGACGTGCAACACAGTTACTCTACTACTGAGGGACATCCTCTAATATACATTTTGTTTTGTATGATCACAAGACAATCTGAGCTACCCTGAACATTACCCAGCCTGCTTTTGAGATGCTGGGTGACACTAGTCCTGGGGAAACATAAACAGCATTGATGCAATCCACATAGGGAACTAACAACAGACCAAATGGATACTACCAAATTCCATACTGTTAAACCAATGAGTTTTATTGGGGTTACTTTTAAGAATGTGGGTGAAGGCCTACTTAAGGAGCAGAAATGACTAAACACAGTTGCATCACTAAAAGCCCACCACAGTATAGGTGACAGCTCATAAAAGCTGAAAACCTAGAGCACACAGCATAGACAACCTACAGACAGCTCAGCTGGTCTGTGTTTCTTCAAGGTAGCTTGGGTGGTCTCTGTTCCAGATGGTTCACCTGCTCTGTGCCTCTTCTAGGTAGCTCAGCTTGTCTGAAGGGGCTTTCAACCTTACTGCTTATACAGGCTTGAGGAGGGAGAGACCTAATCTGATCAGTTTCAGGGAGTTCCTAAATCCTGTGAGTTGTTTACCTTATGGGCTTAGAGAGCTTCCCAGCAGGATGGAATGTTTCACTTCCTCTAAGACCAGCCTGTATCTTGAGGAGCTTTCCACCAAGATGGAAGGTTTTTATCTGAGGAAATTGCCACACAACACAGGGTTACACCCTGAAGACCATACAATCTATCTTATTTCTGAACTTATCCTTGCTCACATATCACACAGCCATCACTTTAAATTTTAAATTCACATCCAGAATGGAACATTACTCAGAAAGGCTACTCTGGATCTTACCTGCACCATCTCCAGAGATCATCAAACTGTACTAAGAACTCCCTCTGTGGGTGGCTGTCACAGATTGGATAGGTGTTGAAGACTTGGGTATGTAACAGTGTGCACATGTTGGCTTGGCAAAATCTACATCATGAGAGCTAACACCTTGACAATAAGGTAATCTATTGATAGATTCCTAAATTGATGGTATAGTTAGGCAATGGTGGAAATTTTAGGAGGTATGATTTAGCTAGAGGAAGGCTAATCACTAAGGCTCTCACTTGGAGACTGTCATTTAAGGATACACCTTGTCCCTGAAGACTTAGGATCCTCCTCTATTCTGGCCAACATGTGGTGAGGAGCTCTGCTCCTCCACACCCTTCCACCCTAACGTTCTACCTACCTGAACACAAAACAATTGACCAGACAACCAAAAACTAACACCTCTGAAACCATGAGCTCAAATAAATCTCCATGCTGCCCCCATCTTTTGTGTGTGTGTGTGTGTGTGTGTGTGTGTGTGTGTGTGTGTGTGTTGAGAGAGAGACCATAAGTTGACAGTGTCTTCCTCACTCTCTGCCTTACTATTTGAGGCAGAACTGCTAACTGAACATGGAGATTGCCAACTTGACAGGACTGGCCAGCAAGCCCCAGGGATACTCCAGCCTGTACTCGGACTACAAGTGTGCACCTTCATGTCTGGCTTTTACATGGGTGTTGGGGTTCAAACTCGAGTCTGCACCCTTAAGCAGCAAGCACTTTACTGACTGAATCATCTTCCTACCCCCATTTGAGTCTTCTCCTTTGTAAAGGATTTGTCTGTGTTAGGTTATTTTGCCACAGTGGTCGACCATGACATTTAAAGAGAAGAAGCAGAAAGCTCTGGAATTTCATTTCTGTCCCTACAAAAAGCCAAGGCAACTGGCAATGTAGTTTAACTTACCTGAACTCAGGAGAAGGGAACTAACAGCTGATTTTACAGCCTTGGAGTTCAGAGAGATGGTTTCAAACTGGAGGTAATTATCCTCCCGTCCCCTGAGGAAGCATTATGTAATGTCTGAAAAGATTTTTGCCATATGAAAAGAAGCACAGTGGCATGGTGCTTATGAAATTGTTGGGGAGGGGTATTATTTTGCATGAGGAACTATCCAGTGTATTGTATGACATTTTTACAACATTCCTGGCCTTTTCCCATTAAGTGCCCTTCCCTGAATCATGACCCTCAACAACAGAAGTCCTCCAGGGAGCAAAACATCCCTCAGGTTTTGTAGAATGATCAATCCAGTTGACCCTTCATTTTGTAGGGAATTAGGAGGGCTGACCTAGGTGAATATTTTCTGAGAAATGTCAGCTTGCAGCACAGTGAACAGTAAAAGAGACCCTGTCTCAAATGAGGTGAAATGTGAGGACCCACAACCAGAAGGCCTTCTTTAACCCTAATTCATGGTAAGGTATTATTTTAAATGAATTACAGTATGAAACTCAGCTTTATTCCACCCATTCATATTTGTTCAATATTGTTGCCAAAATGTCAGCTGTGAATACCAGAATGGACAATCTGCTGTTTCTCAGTGGTGTAGCTCCTAACAAACCAATTCAGGATATTGGTTCACTTGAAAGAGAAACATGAGTTAGATTTAAAGCTTTGCTGGTTTCCATGGGGTGTGTTAATCATTAACAGTTGCTAAGGGCCAAGTCAGGGTTCCTTTTCATCTCTGGCCTTTGAGCAAGAACTCTGGAAAGCACTGTTTCCCATGTGAAGGCTCCATACTGAAAAACCTAAACTAGACTAGCATTTGAGCAAAGATGTATTCACATGTGGAACAAATCATTTGTCTCCTGTTCAGTACCCTGTCTTCAAATACACCACACATCACACTGATTTAACCAGATTTACAAGGGGAAAAATCTTTCCTATTTGAATTTCTAGATTCTTCCACACTTTGTATGGTGGCTTTGGGAAAGCCGATACATATACATGTTTGGCACCACCTTGGTCACCAGTCACACAGGACTAGGAATTCCAAGGCCCATCTGGCAGATGCCATCTTACAGCCTCTGAGATGGCTCTGCTAACTGTGGTTCTGTCCTCCTTGGGCACATCAGAAGTCCAGTGCCCATGTTGCTAGCAGTGCTTGCTCTGCCAGACAAGGTCTAAATAATCTTTTCTACAAAAGGAAAGAACAGTGTGGGATCACAAAGGAGAAGGGAGAGTGTCTTTAGGGACAGGGTCAGCTACAGCTTTCTTTGACGTGGCTCAAAAAGCCTGAGACTCAGGCCTCCAATGCCTTTATTTGACTGTAACTTTTAGAAAGCTTTCCAACTCTGGGCCCTCTTATTGGGAGATGGCAGAATGCAAGGATGAAATGCAATTTTTCAATCCTCAAAGAGTTCAAGTTAAAACTCCTGAAAGGACTTAAGAACCCCTAAAAGGATTCTTACCTCTGTATCTGTGGGGTCCCTGCATGCTGATACAAGTCAACTACAGCTAGAAATGATCGAAGGGAAAAAAGTCTCTGGTAGACATGAACACTCTCAAATATTCCCATGAACAACTCTCTGCAGAGCACTTTTCAATACAGAGAGTTAGGAATTGTTAAGGCATCTAGAGTGGAATTAAATCATACAGGCAAATGTGCATGGGTTATATGAACATACCACATCACTTCACATACAGATCTCACATACCCGTGGCTGTGGTATCCATGGGGTGGGTACTAAAGCCAACAGGCACCACAGGAGAAGATAAATGTCAACTGTCAAATTTGGAAGGCTGAGTTTGTGGAGGGATAAATCAGCTTACCAATAACTCAAGACAAAAATAAAACAGGGTCTAGGTGAGTGGCTAGCAAGTGACAAGTGCTAGGTTCCATCCACAGCAACAAGAAAGGGGAGAGAAGAAAAGAACAGGGTAGGGAGACGAGAAAGCCTGTTCTCAACAGGGAACAAACCTGTCGTGGAGGCTGGAGGGACCAGAAGGAAAAGAGAAAGGAGAAGAGGTAAAAGGAGAAGGGAGGAGAGAAAACATAATAGGCAGTACTACACATTGATCTAAAGAGAAATATATTTACATCTAGATGAAGGAAGAGTAAAAATGATTTAAAACAACCATTCACCTTGTCAGTAGTCCCCTATCTTCCTTAAAGTGTAGCTGGCTCTGGGACAGGGAGCCTCACAGAAGATAAAGTAAGATTCCTGTGAATAAAACAGATTCCTGAGGTCAAAATCGCTATCAGTTCTGGTTAGGGGAATCTGTTCTGGGTCCACCCACCCCAACTGGTAGATGTCAGGCCGTGAGTTATCTATTACTCTTCTCCCCATGAGAATCCCCTAACAACAATCTCAATCTCAATCTCAATCTCAATCTCAATCTCTCTCTCTCTCTCTCTCTCTCTCTCTCTCTCTCTCTCTCTCACACACACACACAAACACACACACACACACAGAGAGAG